CCCCTTCCAATTCCTAATTTATTTCTTCCTTCTTTTCTATAGCGCCATACCCGCACCAAAGCGTTACCCCGAACTCATCTCAATTCGCCATACTCCTCTGTGCGAAAGTTAGTGCATTCCACAGAAATTTCATAGCCTTCTTCTTTTTGCAACTATATACGCGATTAGTATGAGATAGTGGCTTCCAAGATGTCAATGTCACATTTGTCTTAATGTGGTGGAGATGGGTTGTTCACACGATCAACCTGCGGACGAAGAACGACGGAGATGACGTGAGTGGCAACTCTGAGATTCCTAAGTCCAAGATGTTGACTCGAAGACGAGGAAAGGTTTCACGTGCAATGGGGCTTTCGGTGAACTCGTGGTACTGTACCTGGTGGTATTTCGTATATTGGTGAGTACTCCGTACCTAGGTAAGCCAGGAGAATGCTCCGACCGCGGCCGTCCTCTACCACACATAACCCGTCTTTCTCCGAATGCAGATCGACATCTGCAACGGCACAAGGTTCTCTCAGCCATCGACATTCCCCACATGTTCCAATGCTTCTTCGCAAGGCGTTCATGGAATCATGGCCCCTTCTTGTCGAATTGATAACATGCATCACATCGAGGGGCAAACTTTAATCACCCCGCGCTAAGCGACCCTTCAAAGTTGCAGCAACCAATCAGGCTCAACCCCTCCAACACGACCCTGAATGTCGCATCTCAGCTCCCAACCAGCTCCCAACCAGCCCAGACACAACATATCCGCATATCGCATCACATCACCTCGAAAATGATTCTCATCTCAGCCAAGCCCCGGCAGCCCCATCCGCTGCCTCTCCGCCAATTGATAAGTTGGCATTCCCGTATCACCGCCGGGACAGCCGCCTCTTGATTCTCATATCGATATTCAGCACCCCTCCTGACCTCGGGTCTAACGAACTGAGAGTTGACGAGAGTGCCTATTGAGCCACAGAGTCGGATGCACGTGTGTGCGATCGCTGCGGATAGCTGCCGGGACGTATTTTAGGCCCCGGAGATCATCGCTGATCATGTGGTATCTTGGCTGGCCCTGTCTGGGTGACAGGAGGATCGGGATTCCCTTTTGGGAGGCCACCCCGCCATCGGGGGTTTATATTGATGCAATGTGACCCCCACTGATACGGTGAGTGTTGAGGTGAAGTGTATGTTGAAGTGCATGTTCTGTATATATTCACACTTTCTTGTTCATATTTGGAGCTTCCTGGATTTTGGTAGTAACGGGAGCTATTTTGGTTCCGTCTAGGGAGAGGCATTTCGATCCGGACTGACCACAGGACTATATATTCCCGTCAACCCATCACTTGTAAACCTCGCACAACCTTACTTTCTATCTATCAGTTCAAATCCACTTTCTATCGACACCATCAATTGTAGTCCTCATCAATTGCAAACCTCAATAATTTGCAAACTTCACCACTTACAACCTCGAACGGCCTTACGGACTATCAGTCAGTTCAAAACTACTTTCATTCGAACTTTCACAACCAACAACAATCAATATCGCCAAAATGACTGTCCTTACACCATCCCCAAATCCAACGAGGATCCTCACTCGTTCCGCAACCCGGAACATCCTCCAGCTCCTCGCACCAGCTTTCAACAACTCAGTCTACTTGGCCACCATCTTCCAAAAGCTCCTCAGCACAACAACTCTCTTCCTTTTCTTCAGAGCATACTTCTTCTCGCTCATGCTCCTCCAGCAATCATACTACCTCACCTCCGCTCTGCTGATGCAATCTTACTATGCATCCCGATTCACGTACTGGATCTCAAGCATTGCTGCGAGAGGGGGTTACTGGGGAGCAAAGAAGAGTCTTGGAATGAGCTGGAAAGCGTTAGAGCCGTTACGGCAAAAGCTATTTAAGGAGTTTATGATTTTTATTCTGGGTAGTGGGAATGGCTTTATTCTGGCCATCTTCTGGCCTGGTTGGATCGTGGTTGGGCCGACTGTTTGGGGTGTATGGTTTATGTGTGGCTGAAATGCCAATGTCCCACACATATCACTGCAGATATAACGATATAACGAGTAAGTAAGTGTGCTTGAAGAGTCTTGCAATTGGGGTATCTAGCTAACCGGTTCTAGAAATCCTCTATATTCTCGTGTAGAGAGCACTGAGAGGTATGGTACAGCGAGAAGAGGTTGTCGGAATGGATTCAAGAGAAGAAAAATGGATTCCCTCCCGCATCGCGCTTGACTTCCTTCTGGTAGTCCTTCTCTGGGTCGAAATCCTGCCATACGCTGGCGGGAAAGATATGTTTATTCCGCTCATACCATCTCCGATCCACGACCTTTGTGAATGTTGGGTCATCATTCATGCCTTCGACATCTGTCTTCTCAGCAGACTCCTTCGCTGGCTTGTTCTTGGACGGAACGGAAAGTGGGTTGTAGTTGTCGAGGTTGGTCGGTTCAGGAGTAGAGTCCTTGGTGGAGGACGCAGGAGGTTCTGAGCTATAGTCGAAGAGAACCCTATTGTTGGGTCCTAGGGTATGATTTATGATGAAATAATAGAAGTCGTAATGCTGTATGACGAACAATCAGTTTCCTCTTCCCCTTTCATAGCAATGAAAAGTGCAGTACTCACATGCGGAATTATCAAATTCCCTCTAACAAGCATCAAATCATCCACACCCACCCTCGCCCACTCCCTCCTACTATTCCCCACTCCCCCCTTCTCGCCCACTCCCAACTCCGCTCCCACCTTCCGACTCCTATCCAAGAAAACCCAAATATAATCCCCCTTCTTGACCCTCACCACCCCACCTGGAATATTCGTCCCATCATAAAACACAAACGGGATCGCAACCTCACTACTCTTAACCTGCTCCTGTATGACCAAAAACTCCTTTCTCAAACCCTCTCTCGTCTGCGCCTCTCTCAACAACGCACTTTTCGACAATGCTTTCGGCACTATCCCCACATTTGCATTTATGCCCATCTTCTTCTTCCCTCCTCCTTCAATTGGTGTTCCGGAACGAGATGGAGAGGCACTACTCGTATTCGGTGTCGCGGTCCCGGTCCCTGGGTTAGTGCCTGTATCATCTTCTTCATCTTCGTTTCCGAAGGAGAGTTTGGTTGTGGAGGATTTGGTGGTTTTCTTTTTTTTCTTTAGGGGTGGTTGGGAGGGATCTTTGGGCGTGAGGGCGCTGTACTGGAATTTTTAGTCCTATTCCTCCTAATATCGTATATTATGGGAAATGGAAGGGAAAGGAAGGAAGGAAGGAAATCTGCGTAGACTCACCCATCAGGCGTCCCATCCCTCGGCGTTCCCTTCGCGCTCCCGGTCCCGGAACCTAGGAATGCATCGTGCGCGTCTCGCTCTTTCTGCTCGATGACTTCTGCGCGGCGCTTGCGGAAATCAGAGAGGTTTACTAAGCCGACTGTTTGGGTGGAGAGGAGGTCTTCGGCTGTTTTTCGTTGGGAGGTGAATCGAGGGTTTGGGGTTGAGGTTCCGGAGGGTGGGTTGGATGTCATTGTGCTAATAATTGTGGTGGGGATTGGTGAGGTGAAGGGGAGTATTATTTGAGGTTGAGGAGGTGAGGCTGCGAGAATGCGAAAGGAGAGTGAGGCTATTCGCAGGGCTGAGATTTTGGATGCGAGCAAGCAGCAAGGCACCGAGCGAAGTGGCGGGAATGCAGTGACGCTAGCAGGGATATCCTTATGGCACGGGCGTCCTTCGGTAAAAGTCTGGGGAGAAAGGGGGAGGGGCTAGGGGGATCCGCTAAGCAATTCTTGGGTTCTGATTTGAGGAGAGGCATATTCATGGAGTTGGATGACTTCATTCAATTTTTGTATTTCCATACATTTGCAACGTAGACTTGGGAATCGGAATTATTACTTAGTAGTTAGCGGAGAGGGACATACTAGGACGAGTGTCTAGATGTCATGAAGTTTATGTCCAGTGGCACTTGATACTTCTTTCCTACATCCAAATATTTTCAACCTTCACGCACATTGTCTTGAATTCATCTATCATACTACTCTTCTCTTCTATCAATAATCTTATTCCATTCTTGCGTTTTTCCTCATCCATAAATACCAATCAATTATAAATCCATCAAAATGCTCGTCTCAGAAGCCATCGGCCAAGACCACCTCTACCTCGACTCCTGCTACGAGAACCTCAAATCCAGCTCCACCACCGACGACAAAATAAAATGGCGCAACATGCTCGTCTGGAACCTCGCTCGCCACGCCATCAGCGAAGAGCTTACCGTCTACCCCGCAATGGAGAAACACCTTGGAGAAGAAGGCAAGACGCTCACGAAAGACGATTTTGAGCAACACGCTGCTGTCAGTTGAACCCTCTCATCCATCCCTCTAATCAAAAAGTGTTAATACATACTCAACAGGTGAAAAAAGACCTCTACGTCCTTCAATCCCTCTCCCCATCAGACCCCAAATTCTCCCCTCTGCTTGAACAACTAATGCATGATCTGCACACACATATCGAGCATGAGAAAAACGAAGATATGCCACGACTCGAGAGCGTCCTTTCGACGTCCGAATCAGAAGATATAGCGAAACAATTTATGAGAACGAAACAGTTTGTTCCGACGAAGAGTCATCCTGATGCTCCGACGAGCAGTCCGGTGATTGAGGGCTTGGCAGGGTTACTTGCTGCACCGGTTGATAAGTTGAGGACTATGATGGATAGTTTTCCCGAGGGAGAGGTGACTGGGAGTGCGGAAGTAGATTGGAGGGGGATGTTGTGAGTGTGAGGAGTTGAAGTTGAGGGAAGTGATGAGAGATGTTGACTGATCTCGGATTTGTACCTCTTACCCGAAACAGTTGCTGATGGTATGAATATATTGACTGATATATTTTTTAAGATAAATATAGGCGAACTATGAGTGGACATGCAAAGATTTTCATAACTTCTACTTTCCCTTCTTACTCTTTCCTCATTCATCATCTCGCCTCTCTATACTCACCGCATAGTTCTAAATAAGCGAAAACTTCTTCAACAGGCCAAACCGGGGACGTAGCTTAGTGGTAAAGCCTACAAGAAGTATTGGGCGGTGCTGGTCGGCACTGGGCCCTGTCCGGATGAGACTTGTACAGACCAGCTTGGGATTGTGGATCGCTGGTTCGAATCCAGCCGTCTCCAGAATGAAAATCATATCTCACTATTTTTCTTTCTTTTAATCCTCTTGTCTTCGATACCTCTGAGGTCTTAAGGTAATTAGATCCCTAGCTTACTTTGTTCGTCTTTCACATTCGCTCATAGCCTCATGATTTAAGTTCCGGCATTATATCAAAAGGTTTCAAGATATATTCAAAAGGACACTACTATCAAACAAATATATACACTCCACCCTCCAGTTTCCTTCCCCGCACTTCTCTTCCTTTCATTTCTCTGTCATCTCATCATCTCACTCCATCGCCGTTTACACCCCTCCAATAATGAAAACCTCTCCCGTGCTATCACTGGTCACAAACAACCTGTCCTTACTATCCCACGCCAATCCGGCAGGTCTAAAACAACCGTTGGGACACGCCCCATTGTTGGAATTATACATGATATTCACTGCCGCGGTCTTGCTCGTGCTGGGTTCAACAGGGAAGCCGTCCTTGAACAACACTTTACTGACACGGTAGCCATCAGGTGGGTTGCGGTCCCAGGACCCGTGGAATGAGATGTATGCGGCGGAGCCGTCTTTTGTGAACTTGATGTCAATCGGGGCAGTGTGGGCGGGGAAGACGAGCTTGGGGGCTTGGATTTTGGCGCAGTCTGAGTCGCTGAGCTTTTTGACTGAGAGATCAATGGAGGTTTGCACGCCGACATTGCCGGTGAGGGTAGTGGAATCCCAGATGGAGAAGCAATTGGGGTAGCCGTAGTTGGCGCCGTGAAGGGCGTTAGATGTGCTATTGATTTGGCCGTGGTAGTTCAGTTCTTCGGCGGGGTTGTTAGTATGGATGTCTTTGGAGTTCTTTTTGATGTCATCGGCGGAGTTCTCGACAGACCACTAGAAAGTTAACGTTAATGGAGATGAGAGCGAGAGGGAAATAGAAAGCATACGATATCCCCAGTCGTAGGATGTTGTCCCCATCCCACACTGTTGCGGAGCCCAAAGCCAAGAACATCGCCGTTGGTGGAGTAGTCCACAGATTTTCCAGCAAGCAGGTCTGCAATCTTGAAGATTCGCACTTGAGATCTTCCAGATGAAGCCTCAACTGTTGCGCTATCAATATTCCCGTTTGAACCCCGCTGGACAACGAGAAGGTCCGGGTTTTGTTTCGGGATGAACAGCGTGCGGGTGAGATGATACGGGCCGTTGATGGTCATGCCCGTGATAACAGCACGCTTGTTGGTTGCTGTTCCAGCGGCAGCATCGTAATCGTAGGCAAAGACAGTAGCGATGCTGGAGACGAAGAGGGTTTTGCCATCCGCAGTGAGTTCCATCCCATGGTTCAACTGCTCATCATCAGTACGCAGCTCTCGGGTTTGCTACGATACTTACCGTGCTGTCAGTGACGATAGTCTTCGGGGTAGCACCACAGACATCAAGACCACCATTGTCAGTGATCTTAACCCATCGCACACCTACACCTCCCTGATCCAGAACGAGCAAGTTACCAAGAGGATCAAAGATGATCTCTCGTGGTTGCCTCATACCATTTGCGATGACGGTCGCGGTGTATCCCGAGCCCATCACAGGCGTATATGTGGGCTTCAGAGAGGGACATGCTCGTTTCTCGAGAGTTGGGACAGCAGCTGTGAGGCCCAAAAAGGCGAAAGCGACGAGGGTTCGAATCAGAGATGCCATGTTGGTTGAGCGGCGATGAGAAACATAGCTGCTGTGTGAGTGCGCACCTCCTCTTGAAGTATTCTCTCATAGTTTGCCACGGAGGCGTAAAGCCTAATATTGCACAGTGCTTTCTCCTCATGACAGCGTCATGGCAGACTTCGTTTCTACTGCTCATGTTCTCATTCGTACCGGAAGAATCATTTTAGATAGCGTGGCTAGTGAGAGGTCAGATGTGAGCTTGGCAATTAATATTATCAAAACTCCAGGCCGACAGAGCTATGATGTATATTCGCTTCTATTTGACGAGGACATTATGATTGGGAGCTGGGAGGGGTTCCCCGCAAGCAATATAGGCCGGAGATTAATAAAGCATAAAGGTAAGGTTATGCTTAAATAGACGGCTTCTGCCGGCCTGGGGGTTTCTTGGGGGTTTTCCGGGTGGACACCTCGGAAGATATTGTCAGTTCTTTGTCAAGAGAGTTGTGGTGGGTTTTAGGGGAGGAAGAATTGTGTAAGGAAAAGGAGGTGAAACTTGTAACTTGAGTTGAGGTGAGGTCGAGGTACAGTATTGAACCACCCTGTCTCGCTTGCTACCTGCACCCTTTATCCATTTGAAAATCTAGACCGACCCCCAACGAACTTTCCTGCTGCTTCTTCCATTTCTCCCCCGAAGCAAATCTATTCAGATCCTGTAATCTGAGATCCCTAGCTATGAAGAGAAGGGCCTTTCGGGTCCCTCGTTAAAAGTTGACGGTTTCTGATAAGCGTATAAATACCTAAGGTGAGGACGCCTGAGCAAAGGCGGCGCTGCTCACGTGAGACATCTGGGTGAGAAGTGCAAATATTCCCATCGTATAACACTTAATGTGGATTGAGAGCCACTTCTAATACTATCACATACTCTTAGATTGACTTTGCGAATTTTCAGTGTGCATTTACAATGGCTGGCCAAGTGAAGGTCTTGAAAACACCAGCTGCAGCTCTAGCCACTCGTAAGTGCTACTTTTTTCCTACCCATCTAGAGAGAGGTCAGGGTGAGCAGGCCGAGTACCAAAAAGTCTCACAACACAAGTTTCACGTCACATCAAACAAGACCAAAGGTTTATTTAGGATTCATTAAAGGCCGAAGCCAATGAAACCAACGACGAGGCAACACCAAATAGGCCCTATCTACAGTGTAGCAAAAGCTACTCCATATCCAGTCCTTCATCGAGTGTCACACCACAAAGCAAAGCAGTGATCCACCCAACAACATTGATGCTCCACTCCTCTGTTGTTGTTTATCTATCATGTCATCATAGCCTGGTAATCAACGCTTTTCTCGGTACGCAGTTCTTGTAATCCACGCAGTCATCATTCCTCCATTCACGATAGATCAATGAAAGAAGCCCGCAAGGTAAAGCAAAAAGGGTTATCTCGAGCCAAATGGCAGAGAAGACACCTTAACGCCTGGTATGCAGTCATCGATCATCAATCCATCAATACAAATCTGCAAATCTGCAAATCTGCAATGAAAGAAAACTCAAATGTAAATGCAACGCTCAAAGACCATCGCAAAGCAGGAAAGAAAAAGAACTCTTGTGTCAGAAGGAAACAGAAGAGCTCTGAAGCAATGCATATGGTCAGCGCTACGATTCGGAAAGCAGCAAAGGAAGAAAGGAAACAAGGAAACAGGTGCAGGGGAAAATGCAAGTGAAGTAATCCATCGTTAGAAGCCATCTCAGAAATCCATCAAGTACACACGATCGTGTATCTGACCGGCAAAGCAAGCTGTAGTGCCAATCAACTCATCGTCCAAGCTGATCTAGAGGAGTTCCGGTTTGTGTGAGCTCTTTTTTTTTTTTTTTTTCTTTTCGGTGAGGGGTGTTTCGCGGCAGTCGTTATTTCGAAATCATGACGAGAAGTTGGCCATTTTGGCAAGGAGATATTACTCGTACAGACTGACAAGGTGGGAGTGGATCCAGGTGGAAATGCTCAGTTCTTGCTCTATGAAGAAGTACTAGCTGTCTCGGCCTATGGGAAATATCGTACACAAGAATTGGGAAATCGCGAGTCCTCAAGAGCTCTGAGCTAGTGCGCAAGATCGGGACGAGAATTGAGGAAGATTCGACGGGCCGAGCTTGTCCAGGAGCGCAGAAAAATGAGGTTCGCCAAAGACTTAAAATTCCTCATCAAAGGGGTCCTCGTACAGTTCCTTCGGAATGCCGAAAGCATTTGCAATAACACCAAGCGCCTGGTCAAGCATCTCGTTTTGGGAAGTGTCGAAGCCATCCTTGTAGGGGGCATCAGGATTGATGACTCCGTTGCGATAAAAGTCACCTCGTGACATGGCAATGCCGGCTAGACGATGGTTGACATGGGCGATGTGCTCAAAGACTAGGCCCTTGTCATCTTGGGCGACTGTGCAGCCAGTGTAAGTCATGTCAGGAGTGTCCTTGTCATAGAACTCGACGGGGCGGAAGGGGCGATTGTATGCGCGAGCATATCGGCGAAGATCGGAGAGGGTATAGTGTTGGGCCTCGGCTTCCTCAATCATGAGGAGACGACCAACGATGTCTCGGTACTGGTTGTACAGCTTTGCCTTCGAAGGATGCAACGTCTTCACCTCCTCATCTGGGTCGTAACGAGGAGCAGCCAAGGATGGGCCACCTGAGGCAGCATCAGCATTCATGGGGGTGGCCGAAGAAAAAGGACCTTCAAAGGCGCCCACTCGAGAAGGAATGCGGAGCGGTGCTGGGACAAGGGGAGCCAAAGCAGGGAAGGGGAGGCGGGGAGGCGCAAGATCGCGGGCTCGTCCATAACGTTGCTTCTTAGTTGGAGTCTTCGGATACGGGTGGTAGCTCTCGTCGTCGGAGTTGTCGAAACCAACACCATGGTCGTCCTCGGCGTAGCTGACTTTGGAGAGCGCCGACTTTCGCTTGCTTGAGCTGCGACGGGGGGCCTGGGCCTGGGTCTGGACCTCGTCCTCGACGTCGTCCTCATCCTCGTCATTGATATCATAATCTGCGATATCGACTTCTTCAAGTTCTTCCTCGTCGGAATCAACCCCGCGCTTGGCCCTACCACCGGTATTGCGCTTGCGGCCACCGCGAGTTGAGCTCTTACGGCGACCGTTCGTGCCTTGCGTACCTATAGCTCTCTTGGGCGTTGAAGTTCCAAGCTTGCCAGGTGGGCTGGCTCGCGAACCACGTGTACGACGGTTCTTGCGGCCAGACGCACTGGTCATGTCTCCATCCTCCCCTCCCTTGATCTTCTCAATCTCCTCATAATCCAAGTTGCCACTAAGGACCCTACGACCGAGCTGGTTCTGAGTGTCACGTTCTGCGTTGACTCTCTTGTTCATCTCCTTATTCTGCAT